GTTCTTCGTTGAAATAAAAATGTTGTCCAGCTCAAACAAATTGGATGAAAACAAAAAACATGTTTACATATTTTTACCTCCAAGTTGCTGAGAAAAAAAGTTAAATTGTGTCTGTTTCACAAACAACCAGATTCACATGCCAATGGTGATTGTCAATAAACAAACCTTCACACACTAGTCGATGTAAAATTTTATTATTTTCTTTCCCCAGCTTGTCCCGATAACTACTACGGTTTTGAATGCCAGGGTGTATGTCACTGCGGCAATGGTGCCAGATGCAACCACATATCCGGTGAATGCTACTGTGCACCAGGATTTACTGGTCATGCATGTCAAGAAGGTATGTCTTCTCAGTATCTATTTGAATATAATTTTTAGATCCACAGTCATTGTTGTCCATCGTCCACATCAACTATTTACTTTCAACTTCTTCTTGAAAACTGCAAATCTGATTGTTTTGATGTGTTATATCTTGGGTAGACCTATCTTAGATTTGTTCATTTTGTGACAGTTTCTTCAATTTTCCAATTTTAATAAAAAATGATATTTATTGTTGAAAAACACTAGTCTGATTGGTTTGACATTATACATATACATGTAGGTACCTCAGGTAAACCTCTCTCAGATTTGTTCATTTTGTGATGATATCTTCAATTATCTAATTGAGATGTGCATTAAAATTGCTAACAGCCGAGTTATCTCAGCCAAGAGGTTGTATGTTTTAATTGGGAGAATTGATGGGAGTCTCAAAATAACGTCTCTTTGGAAGTCAAGCACGAGATTTTAGGATTATCGGTGGATTTTATGAATTTTGATTTGAAAAAAAAAAAGTATTTGTGTGTCAGTGAAATTACTGTCATTATAAAATATACATACATTGCATCATCTACTATAAACTCATCAATCTTTTCACCACCAGAATTTCTTCCCCAAATTTGTCTGCACCTATTTCTTATACTTCCAACCCTAATCTTGAGGCTAACAGACAAAATTTGAGTCAATTTTCAGTTAATACTAAAAAATTGTGGCTATTTTTCCCCCAATCTTCTGAAGGAAAGTGCAACCTAGATAATTGGGACTATTTTGTGAATTTGTGGTGAAAAGAGGAACTGGTGGTGAAAAGGTTGCATGAGAGAAAAATTTTCAAAACAAGTAAAAAATCATAAATTTTTGAAGCAGTAACAATCTCTCTGAGATCCTATGACACGAAGTGCAAAACGTTGTCTTCATTATGTCGTAGAATTATCAAATTGAGATAGTTTATTAAGTGCCCAATCTGATTAAAATCTGATGTAGTGTATGGGCTTTAATTATTTTGGCTATAAACTTATTTTAATTTTATTTGTTATTATATTTGTTATTAATGCCTTTTTATTTTACTTTGATTTTGATTTTGTTATTTTTTTTAATTCCGCCCTACCTACATCTGATTCGACGCCTATGTAAGTCCCGTTCAAATCTCGCGTAAGTAACAGCCAATCACAGCCCCCCTTTTATACAGGCTGTCGGTTGCTTACTTTTCAGTGTCAACAAAACATCACCCGTCTCCAGGACAAGCAACTGGAAAAAGACACCGGTGTTCGGTCGAACCAGTGGAAACAAAATCGTCACTCCCAGAATAACTACGCAAAATAACGATCTAAACTCGAACCATTCGAGCCACAATATTAACATAAAAATGACTTTCGTTGCATTTGACAATGATAAACTTACCGAAAAGCCGTGTTATTCTCGGTTGCTAACGTCGGTATATCCGCCATTTTATTTGAGTGTGTTTGCCACCTGACTCTGTCCGGTGACGTCATCATGTGCGCTATAGAAGGAGGTCTGTGATTCGTTGACTAAAATCGTCGATAGTGGGTCTCGTTGAAATCTCGTTACACAGGCATCGGGTCAGATGTATGTAGGGCGGAATTAAAAAAAAACACGAAATCAAAATCAAGGTAAAATAATAATAAAACAAAAAGGCATTATTAACAAAAGTAATAAAAAATAAAATTAGAATAAGTTTATAGCCAAAATAATTAAAGCCCGTACACTACATCAGATTTTAATCAGATTGTTAAGTGCCAAAAAATAAGCAATTTACAAAGTAACTTAAAAATGCGTGTTTTGATCACAGTTTGTACTGACAACTCTTGGGGGTCAAATTGTACGGGTACGTGCGATTGCTTGAATGGCGCTACATGTGATCATGTGACTGGACGATGTCTCTGCACAAATGGTTGGAAAGGAGCGAAATGTGATCAGGGTAAGTCAAATTTGTGGATTATGTGTAGATTTACCTCCCAAAATCCTGATATAAAAACTTGTATAATTATACTAGACATTTCTAAGAAACTTACGAGATATCAATGAACATTTGCTGTTGCAGCACAAGATTATAAAATGTGAAATAATGTGATGTAAGTCTCTTTTTGACTTAAATATTTTCTTTTTTTTTGATTTACTGGTATAGTTTGTTCTGCTGGTTTCTTTGGTGCTAACTGTGCACAACGTTGTATATGTCGAAATGGAGCTGATTGCAATCATATGACTGGTCAGTGTACGTGTAGCGCCGGATGGACCTCGGTTGCGTGTGAACTTGGTAAGTTTTACATCATCAAAACTTGACAGCTTTAATACGTCAAGCTGATCAAGTCATTTGAAAACAATATTTCTGATGGACATAATGCGAACATTCCAATGAAAATATGATAATGTAACCAATAAATTAAACATAGATTGATTTATATTATATTATCTCCCACATTGCTATACATGTCATAGATTGGTAATTGTAAATCTTTGTTGTAAACCTCAGTCTTCATTTGGAAATTGAGTTAAAACAAAGTTTGACATTTCTCAAAATTGTGTACCAGACACCAGGACAGTTAACTTTCTAATTTTACCAGCCATGCATTAAAGATTATTTTCAACTTCATCCATAATAGTATTTAGTGAAATTACATTATCAAAGTTTAGATTGAAACAGACCTAAAAAAAGTGGAAAGTTATCTGTCTCACTGTTGAGCTGTAATTTCGAACGCTGGTGTTACATTATTAAAGTTATTACGCATAATAAATTTGTTATGTTTGCATATCTGATCGGATCTTTTAATTATTTTAGAGTGTCCAAATGGCTACTATGGACCTGGTTGTGTAATGCATTGTCAATGTCAGAATGGCGGTAGTTGTGATAGGTATAATGGTACATGTCATTGTCAACCTGGATGGACAGGAGTGTATTGTCAACAAGGTCAGTTAAGGTCACTTGCATCCCCATTCCATCTATTAAATAAAAACAAACAAATAAAGTGTTGCATAATTATTGATTTTGACATTTAGGATTTTTACGTATCAAATATTTTTTGGGGGAGAAAAATGTTTTTTGTTTTCTTTGTTAAATACTTCTTTTCTACAGAATGTTATGATGGTTTTTTTGGTGATGATTGTGAACAGCGATGTTCATGTCAGAATAGTGCAGAGTGTGACCATAGATCTGGTACTTGTAGTTGTACTCCTGGATGGCAAGGACGTTATTGTGATTCACGTAAGTATACTCCAAGTACATCACATGGAGTGAATGCTTAACAAACTATGACAGGCTTACAGAAAAAAATAAATTTAATAATAATTTATTGCATTCTTGAATTTCTCTTAGTTATAACTGCAATAAGATTGTAGCAATACAAAATTCAGTAGATAAAATACATATAAAATAATAATAAGAAAAATGTTTAATTTGTTTTTGCTCAAATTAAATTTATTCAAACTTAATGTAATTTTCAAAAATTCAATCTTGATTTATATCAAAAAAATGTTACGTGGAAACGAGCAAATTACAAATTGGACTATTTTGTGAATGCTGCCTGAAGTTGACTTTCACACCCAAAAGTTTAACCTGAGATTACTTTTTGTTTTTAATTTCTAACAATTTTTATAAACATATTCACTTTTGCCTCACAATGAATTGCATAAAATTGAATCTTACATGAAGGGGTTTATTTAAAGTATATATATTATATAACTAAACGTAAATCTGCTGGTTCATTTGATCAAAATTTAACAACAAATTACATAAATTTATATAAAATATGAGAATGTTAACCCACAATTTTAGTGGTCAGAGTAATATTATCTGATCATTCATATTATTCTACAATACAATAATTCAGATATCCAGTAATATATTTTCCTTTTAAATTGCAGCATGTTTTAATGGTTACTATGGCGATCACTGTGCAAACAAATGTGATTGTCCGCCAGAACAGCCATGTAATCATGTGACAGGACAGTGTGTGTGTCCAGCTGGCTACAATGGCTACCAATGTAATAGGGGTAAGTAAAATACAAATATACTCAGATGTTATTTTTCCTGAAAAAATGTTGATGAAACATTTTGGAGCAAACAGCCATAATTTTCCATTTGCAGTAGGTCTTGGGGTGAAAGGTCATAGGTACCGATAATTATCATTCATCAATTTTATCGGTAAATTTTGGTGAACGTTGTGAAAATAATAATTCAAAATCAATTTAACATTTAAATCGAAAACTCATTCTGATGAAAAATATTGAAATGACAATTCTGCAACTCATTAATGGATGTAGCGGTACTTTCAGATATGTAAATAAAGTTACATAAAAGTTAAAATACTGTTTGTGCTTTTGTTGCAAGTACATCTTAAATATCAGTATACACAAACCAGAATTTGCATTTCTTGTATACTTTATTGTTAAAATGTAGACGAACATTTGTCATTTACTTGATTGTATACACTACTAATAGGGTAAATACAGTACTAATAGGATAAATAC